AGAGCTCTTCTCTAGACTTCTGGCCGCAGTACCGGCTGTTGGGCGATTTCACATCAAAACTTTAATAATAATAATAATAATATAGCAAACAGTGATCTTTATTATTATTTGTTTTACACTTTCCATACTTAGGGTTGCCACTTGTTCATATTTATATTTTACTACATGTTATATATTATTATTAATATTATATATATAAAAACAGTTATAGAGTTATTGCAAAAAAACCTACTTATGTTAAACATACATCTTTAAAACTCTATTTACTCCTTAATCATTTTTGTTAATAAATAATTGATAGCTAAAAGCTATATGTTTGAAGCTTCCCCAGACTATCGATGTAGTACCTTCATATAGCAAAATTAAATGAATAAATATATATGCTAAACAATGAAAGCTTTTTTAGCTTTCTTTAACTACCAACTACATCAGGAAATATTAAAGAGACTGACGACGAAACGGATTAAATATTTAAAATAGACCATGCATTGGAACAGTTTTTATATTATACCGCATACTATATTTTACTTTAGTGGTAATGAAATTGACGATGAATCTGTGTAATTTACTAAGAAGTTTAGTTAAGAATAATAACAACTATGGAATTGAAAACTGTTATCAGTTACCAGCTTTACTGATGACGGTAGAGCGGGTTATTAGTTGATAAAAGCAGATAGTAAGCTGGTTGGAAAACGACTTGTGTGGTTATTAGGTGAATGTAGTTATTTCTGTATCATTATATATATATTAAATGTTTAAGCGTGAAATCGCCAACAGCCGGTACTGCGGTCAGAAGAGTCCTATTGTTCTAGTTTCACTATTGATTACACAAAGTCCCTTAAAGCTTTGTGGATAAAGTCTAAAACTAAATCTAGATAAGAGTTGTTAATTTGTTCTGATGATAGAAGTTTCATATCAAACAAGTTTCTTCTGAGCGTTATTAGGTTAGGTTAGGTTACTGGGGCCGTCCGAAGACTCACTTAGACCATAAGGTCCATTGTGATACCCTAAAGAATTTGACACCTGTCCCTATAACCACTTGGTATTGGCTACAAAGCCATTGCCACGAGCTATGGAAATAGAATCCAGCTCTCTTAGTGAATAGAAAAAGTGCGACCCTAAGTAGGATAGTCTATGTCTTGCAAAGGCAGGACACTGTAGCAGAAGGTGTGTTGGTGATTCCTCTTCATCATCCTCCATGGAATGCCTACAATGTAAGGAGGTGCTGATGTTGAGCCTCACGGCATGTCCTTCCAACGGGCAGTGTCCCGTAATAATTCCCACTATCCTGGATAAATTTGCTCGGGATAGGTTGATTAATTCCCCCGATCTTTTCTTACTTATTTTTGGCTAAAATTCCTTGGTTTTTATGCAGTTGGTTACTGTTGACCATCTTCTTTCAAACATTTGGTATGTCCATAATTTTATTAAAAATTATTATTATTAAGTTTTTAATAATAATATTTCTGTATTATATTCTATTTAATTAAATTTTTTATTTACGTTACGATCTTAAAACTATTCCTAGCCTAACTAAATAGTTCAGATAAAAGAATTTAAAAATTTATATATTAAATTAGTTTTTTGAAAAGCAATTAATTTAAGTACACTAGTGATTAAGAAATACTTCTTTAATTTAATTGAAATAATTTATAACTCTTCACGCAATCATTTCAATCTAAAACGATTTTTTAAAACATTCATTAAAAATGCTTTAACTTTGCAACACCCTGAAAACCAAACATTTAATTTCAAATTTTCCTGATACGACACGCGATACCAAGGATTCAATATTATATTATATTGGTTCAGTCTTCCTTTGCTTCCAACCACACTTTGCTGGCAGCATTTTGTGTCGTCGTCAGCTGCAAAAACGTAAACGTCGATATAAAAAATTCTATCTATGTTATGCACAAATAAATGCTCATTTCCTGTGCTTTCTTGATCTGGGTCTAGACCAAGCGTAAATGATACTTAAAATGCAATTTCAAATGTAATTGTAACAGCAACCTTTGCACCTACAACTGAACTAGAAACACAAGATTTAAAAAAATATTTACACATAATCTAAACATTTAACCGACTGCCATACGTCATGAAGTGCTTAAGAGCGCCAACTACAAAATATGTACCAGTATAAATACCAACAATTGACCTAGAGATTTCTGGCGTAGGCTCGTCCAATTCGCCAACTCACCATTCGACAAACTGGCATTTATACTGAAATGTTGGTATGCGCGTCTGTCAGGTTGTGTGTCTGCTCATTCAGTTTACGAATAAGTCCAGTAATACTTCAAGGTGCTCCCACGTTTACACCGACGAAGTGCACATGCAAGCATAAAGTTGGAAACTTTTTCATTTTAGCCCGTCTGATTGCAACAAAATATGGGTGTGTGGGCGGGAGAGCGAGTGTACTCGTACCTCTATACGATTCAGTTGTGTGTACATAGTTGAGCTATTTTGCATGCATACCTATGAAAATAGTGAAATTCCTGCCATGAGCTTTATTTTTGATGCCATTAGTGCAACTACTTCAGAAGCTGATAGTGGTTGGTGTTGTTGGTGTTTTGGCCGGAAGCGCTTGTAGAAGTTGATTGCGTTTTTACGTCCATCCAAACGTTATTCGTGTATAAAGAAAACAGCACGCTAGACTACCTTGAACCATAAATGAGCGAACTTTAATGTTTGTTTTTGTTTTCTGACTACCGTGTCATTCAAAATGATGAAATTGACTTGGCACAAGAACTGAAAAAAATGAAAAAGATTATACGGTTCCTGTCCTAATATTGCAAAAAAATGCGCTGCGCTCACTTTGCGTAAATGAATTTAATGTATGTAATTTATCTTGACTTAAGTTGATATATTAGCTGGAAAGTTAAAAAAAAAATAAGACAAATTTATTTTTTTTTATGTAAAATAATTTCATGAATAACGATATACATACTTATATAAATATCTGGGTTTTGTACCAAATGCAGCAATATTTTATAATATAAACAATTTTATAAACGTTCTTTTTTTTAAATTGTAAAATTCTGTTAACAGTAAGGAACACAAATAGATTGTCATGAAATGGGAAGTGCTGTATTTTAAGAAACTGAATTTTTGAAGTGAATCTTTCCTATATACTCCGTAGAGGTAGGTTCGTTACATAATTTATAGTGTGCCTAAAAAATTTAAAAATATTTTGTTAGGTAGAAAAACTCTCATATTACAATAATCTTGAGAGAAAAATATCCTACATTAATTTTTGTTTTTGCGAAAATAATTCTGACGTAGCGGACCACATCCTTTCTGAACAGTAACTAATATATCGGAAAATAAACCACTTAACAAATGAACATACTATACTTTTAAACGCATAGAATACTGTACTCTTTATGAAGTTACTTCTTCTGCATATAGTTTGGTATATATTATCATTAGATATATGTGTAGCACAAGAATCCTGCCTGCAAAGGACGTATTTTAGAGTAAAAGACAATAACAAAATACATATATCAATTTTATAATAAAATTCACATTTCTATCACATATCCAAAATTCTTCAAACAATTAAATTAGCTGAAAATTAGCCAGAGATCCTAGACTAACCCTGGATCCGGCGAGCTAAAACTTGAAATGAAGAATAATGATTTAATGCTTAATACACATATATAACATATGTACATTTAATTATTCAATTTCGATTAACTTTTGAATAATATTAACAAAATAAAACCTTATTAATTTAGTTTATTGAACTTATATATTCCAAAAGAAGCTGGGCACACAAGGATTTCAATGATATCTGTCGAAATTATGGGTCGGAAGAGAAAAATAAAAAAATAATAACTGTCACTCCCCGGCAATCGCCAAAACTCGTCTCTATAGGTTTTCATATTATTAATTGTTTAAGTATTTTAATGATTTTTGTCGAAACTATGGGTTAGGAAAAAGAAAATAATGATCACCTCATGACAATCGCCAGAAGACGTCTAATTAAGTTTTCTATTTTTTAGTAATTAAGGATTTCAATAATTTTTGTCAAAATTATGGCTCAGAAGAAGTAAAAGCTAATATTGATCAATTGTCACGACAATCGCCAGAAAGCGTCTATTTAGGTATTTTTGGTTCTTAATTAACAGAGGAAGAAAAAAATGATGCTTAACTATCACTTTACGACAATTGTTAATAGACGTCTTCCAATATGTACGTACCAATGCTATTCCTGTGGTACCACAATGGGCCATCATTTGAACTCAAGTGGGCTTTTTGGAAACAAGACCACCATTCCTACCTATCTACCTGCCATCAATATCCTCTCTATGAGTTTTAAATTGTTGCTGACAGAGTAGTAACATTTGATTTCAAATAGGAGTATTAGAAGTAAGTGTATTAGTATTATAAGTTAAAACGGGCCCTGTACTACACCGCAAGGCTGTTGACTCTTAACGTTTTAGGTATTTGATTATATGAAAGGTTTTGTGGAAGCAAAAAATAAGGTTGTTAAATTTCCAAAGTGAGGGTGGTTTTATTTATTAGGAGATGCAGAATGTTCAGTTGTCCACGGACCGAATTTCCTAGAACGGATCCACATTTTGCCCCATGTCTTCCATGGGGCATCAATCTGAAGATACAGATAAAGATAAAGATCATAGCATATCTATTTAAAGAAATCGCTTTAAGATACTGCAATAAAAAGGGTTGTCCCTTAATGCATTTAAATAAATAAATCGTAAGTTAAGAATTTGTTTAAAGTTTTGTCACAAAAACAAATCGGGGAAGTTATATATACTTTAGACAGTTCTGATAAAAATCTTGTCGATAAGATAACTACTGAGCAATTAGGTACGTTGATATCTTTTTTGAGGCAGAGTCCTTAAGGCTATCAATTTTCAAATTTTACTAAGAAGATTGATAATTTGGACAGGTATCTGCTAGACCACAGCTGTTCTCTGGTTGAATCGGCGCGTAGTATTAAACCTATTTCAAAGGCTGAAGAACTTTGTAAACTCTTCCGAAAAATCACGGAACTCATATTTTTAGGTTTTAATATTTTCAATTGAAAATAATATTTATTCTTAAATGAAAAATATTTTTAATCAAGGAAACTTCTCTAATTGCGCTATTTATATCGTATAATTAAAATTTAAAACTACAATATTTTTAAGTAAAACTTTTGCCAACGCCAACTTGTCTTCTTGTTAAGTCACATGAATGGGAAATGTGCAGATTCACGTGTGTATGTAAGCGTGTTGGAGAGGGTACACGTTCCACTAGTTGCAATCATTCTCATGCTAAGTTATTATTCACGTGACATTTTCGCTTCGCTTCCCTAATTACTTCATAATACGCTTTTCATTTAACCAAGTTTATTTCAACATTTTTTCAATGTGGTTTCAAATGAAATACGTATACTATTCAGTAAGTTCATAGTTTAGTTCATAGATATGAGTTACGAGTTACGAATTACGAGCTCTGAGTTCTGAGTTCCCCGAGTATGTAACCCATTGTGTACAGATGTGTATGATTTGCTTGTTAAGCAGCCAGATGAGTGCATTTAACAACTGCTAATTGCCATTTAAATGAGTTTTAATTTTGATGTGCGACTAAACCTACGTCAATTTACCTATTTTGTTTATTCTTTGTATCTTGTATATTTATTTGGTTTTCTTTCAAGAAAATACTACATGAATCATTTTCATTTGAAAACATTGTTGTATTTAACATTCATGGAATGTTGTTGACGCATTCTTGCAGCTATAAAGTTTACATTCAAATGACTGACCGGTGAACAACTTAATCAGTCATAATTATTTATTTGTTTCTTTATTTGTTTATGATATTAAGCCAATATTGTTGATATTTTTCAAAGTCTAAAGCTCACAAAATTCAAAGAATTTTTAGAATAATCATATACACTTATAAGATACAAGTCATCATTGAATTGCTCGATATAGCTTTCAACCGAATTGCAAAACTGTGTTAAAATTAGTAAAAATTAAGATATATATGTTGATATACATATGTACAATCTCAGAAGTTAGTTAAGTGCTTTAGTAGCCCTATTAATGCACCCCGAAGAAGCAGTACCAGACATCTCTCTCTTTGTCTCGCATTAGTTTAGTGGTAGAGTGATGATGGTGTACAGTGAACGTGAAGAATTAGAAAATAATACATGGGTATCATGTATTAAATTTTGTGCTTCACTAACACTATTAGTACACTCTGAAGAAGCAGTAATATATGAGTATCATATATTATCTTTAGCCCTTTAGTAGCGTTATTAATGCACTCCGAAGAAGCAGTAGTACAGATCGGTTTCCTTGTCTCACATTACGTTAGTGGTAAAATGATCATGACGTACAGAAGTCTCTATGTGTTTTACGTGATTACCTGCCTGCAACGGCTTAACATCACGTTACTCAAAAGCAAACGTCTTGATACAAAGTGTCAATAAGCGCCCCCTTGGAATTAACTTCCACAGGTACCAATGAAGAAATGTGTATAGGTCATAACTTCCATCTTGGTTTAAAGCGAGGCCTACCTTTAACCTCTGCTACAATATGGGCTGTAGCACCCGGTGGTGAAACCGCAACTCCACGGCGAATGTGAACCAAAATTGAATATTCTTCCCGCGTAAGTTTGGGTATCAACCACAGCCACCACGAGTCCAACGCCAATGATCAGCACTGCCGGAGCTGTCGGGCCACTGACCCCCATGGTACCAGGTTGGATCATCTCTGGTCTGATGGCGCAAGTGCCTGCTCACTTACTACCATACGTACTTCCTATACAAGTACCGGATTGGCACCGGAATTTTAGTCGCCTTCTACGACAAGCATATCTACTGCGGGAATATTCTAAATCCCTTACCCGCAGGGACAGATCATGACGTACAGTGAACGTGAATAATTTGAGGATAATACGTAGGTTAAATGCTAGTGCTTAGACGCCACTTTGTTACCACACGCCAGTTCATATAAATCCATGTTTTAAAACCAACCTCCTCGGCTGATGAAGGGAATTATTTTTTGAAGATATATGTTTAGGATATAAACTTTCATATTGGAATGTCTTAATCTTGCTAGTCCTAAACCTTTTTTATTTTTATTTTTATTTTTTTTTAATTGTTATAGATTTATTTATTGTGTCTTTTCTTACAATGAACCTAACAATAAGTTTTAAAATCTTATCAGTAATTACATAATATTACAATAAAAATAAATAAGTGAACCCTATATCACGGATCTTCGCACTTAAATCAATTTAAATTTTAAATTAAATTTCATTGAACTGAATATTAGGTGGTTTATTAAGAAAGTAGTTGAATTTTATCAGATCACTAAAAAAAAGAGTGCGATTTCTACTTGAAGCTATTGAATTTTAACTAATACCTGTACGGTCAGTTCTTCTTAGGAGGGAAGTATTGGAGAGAAGTGCGAGATTCTTTGCTAAGGGATTATTATACTCTGTCAGCCATTTATTGTATTTTTTCTTATATTGTCAAATTCAGCTTTAACTAAGAGAATTTGTAAATCTCGGTGGATGCTTTCATTCCTAATATACCATGGGACACCAGTGAATATTAACTGACAGCATTATTACACTCAGAAAAATAATTTCGTTGATTCGTTAATTTCGTTTAACTAGATTTTAACTAAATTGGAGGTTAAAATATTCTAATTCGACGCAACATATTGGTTCAACCATATCACATGTTGGTTTTCATGTCTTCTTTACCACATGAGCTAAAATTTTTCTAAAAAAATTTAACTATAATGTGATTAAAGCATAATTTTCTGAGTGTGTACTAAAACTAAGGCTCTGTTTATAACGCGTAAGTGGAGACAGAATCCGTCGAGAGTGAGAGTAGGTGATATAGTAATAAACTGGGTGGATAGTGTTAAATATCTCGGTATCACGTTGGACAAACGATTTACATGGCTTAAACACATTCAACTGAAAAGAATTAGCTGTGCCAAAATTCTTCTTCACTTCCAATCGCTATTAAGAAATGAAAATCTCAATGCTAAGAACAGGAAACTGATATATAACCAAATAATTCGTCCGTCGCTTCTATATGAATGTGCAGCGTTTAGCAAAGCTTCAAACACTACTATTCGCCAGCTAGAAATTGCACAAAGCCAGGCTCTGAGAAGACTTTTCAAAGCACCATGGTACATTAGGACGAATGACATCCTCAGAGACCTCAAGATTGATCCGATCGAAAAATACATAAAGAATAGAGCCCTGAAATTATTTACGAAAACTGACAGACTTACCAACACCGCGTTATCAAATCTCAGAATGGTTACAGGCTCCTCGGGGAGGTATACAGATCTGAAGTCAATTATTGCTTAGTCTGATGAAGTGATAAACAATAATCCAGTCAAGGCGTAAAGAGGGGTTTTTAAAATACCACGAGTTAAGAAAGAGTAAAAGTGCTGAAATGCACTGGCTCAAATAGAAATAAATAAATAAATTCTATATAAATGTCCACTTGGCTTTTTCCTTATTGTTAAGTCATTTTGTTATATTTATATATTTAATTTTTAAATGTCAAGCAAACACAATTGATTATAATTTCGTGTAATTTCCATATTGTCTCTGTTAATTTAAATTCTTTGAATAATTTTGATAAATATTGTCCATTTATATAAAATCGTATTAGTTATAGTATATACGAATGAAACGTAGATACGATGAATTTGATTGTAAGTGCCAAAATATTTCATAGTAATTGCATGTATATATCAGCGATGCTTTCGAATCTATTTCGATTTCCTCAACCTGCAGTCACTTCTCTTGTCTGAGTTCTGTAATACAAAAAAAAAATTAAATAAATAAATAAATTAAAAGTGCAGTACTATTGCGGCATCTTTAACTTAAAACAATTTTGTTAAGTGTATAACGAATAAAATTAACACTAATTAATTTCAATTTTTTTAAAAGTGCCATGAAAATCTTGCCAAAATACATCTTATTTTCTGTTCATTTTTTTAATTGTTTGTTTTCTTAAGTGAGATTTATTGCTTTCTTCTTATGTTTATTTATATTTTGTATCTTTTCTCTCGAATTGATGGAAAAGGCTAAAACAATTTTCCGGATTATATTGTCACTTGGCTCTTTAAATATGAAAAATAAAAAAAAAATCACGTGAAAATAAATTTTTGGGTCAATATCATCTTAGTCCTATTGAGATATTATACCAAAGGATTAAATTAAAATCATTGTTTTATGTTAAAATTAATTGCATTTCAACAGTTTGAAATTTTCCCTCAAGCAAACTCTTCATATATTTACATTAAAAAAATTATTTATTATAATAAAATATTTATAGTAATTTAAACATATTTTAAAAATTACAAAAATATATTATAACTAAACTTTAATTAAAATTTTTTAGATTGTGGTATCGCCTGTATTGCTTAGGCAGTTTATCATCATTTTAATATAGTTTATCTATATTTGGTAAGTAAAAAATATTATTTACATACAAAATTTATGTTATTATATTAATGATATAATTAGTATTAAGTTAAATTAGGCTTCACATATAATACTTATAAGAAATCATTAAAACTTTTTCAAATTAATGCTGCATGTCTATTTGACAAATATACCTAGATATATAAATTTTTACAATCGGTCTAATTATTGATTCAATTATTATCTAAAAAATTTGACTTATTACAAATTTAAATCTAATCTGTAAGATATGTATAGCATAATACAAGTTTTTTCAAATTTAACTAAATGTTATCATTAACAATGAATAAACATTCCCTCCCTCGTATTAGAAGGAAATGCTAATTTTTATATGTATATAAAATCAGTACCTACAAGGATTAAAATAGGCGTCAAAGATAGAGACATCAATATTAAAGTCAATTTGGACCTATTGTATAGAACTGTGGTGTTCCTCGTATAACACGAAGAGTTTTGTACAGAGAGTACAAAATAAAATTCTTTGAAAAGCTATGTGCGCTTCATGGTATGTCAACAACAAAAATCTACACAAAGATCTAAGTCTAATAACTGTTAAAGAAGTTATTCGCCAATATACACCTAAATTCCGAGAGAGACTCAAGTCGCATCCAAATCTTCATGGTCGGCATTTATCTTCTGCAACTGCACTAAACCGCCTTAATAGAAAATCATTGATAAATATGAATATCCTTGCTCACTAATATAAGACTTTTAAGATTCGCACAATGATTATCTATTTTTATTTATAAAAATTCAATAAATAAATCAATGAAGAAAACAATAAAAAAAAGATAGAGACAAGAATTTCTCCAAAACGGCATAAAAAACGAGTAGACTACTGACTTACAGCATAAATATTAAAAGAAAACAGCACTAGAATTGGAAAATTAAAGTGGTCGCTAATAGCACTGAAAAACTTGAAAAAATTGTCAGTAGTATAGATGTTAATGTTGTATAGATGATTTGGATCAGTCTATATAGGGCAGTGGGTACGATGGGTACCCACTCTTCATGTCTTAAAAATAGTTCACTGAAATAGGACTGAAAACTAGTAAAGAATTTAAGTTCTTTGAATGAAACGTTTTAGAATATTCTAAGTATTTTTGACTTCATTTTTTTGGGTGAAGTTTGCTTAGGGTCACGTTATGCAGAGTGTCATGGGCTCGTAAAAATTGTCTCTTTTTAACTTTGAAAAAAACACATGTTATGCAGAGTGTCACAGATATAGTGACATACATCTGTGATAGTTTGCTAATAGTTTGCTTCCAAAAGACATTTATGACCGAATAACACTGTTTTGCTTAAGTGACGAGACACAGATAGCCTCGGCTCTCATAACCAAATTTGAACCGATATTGTTTTTTTTCTCACTTTCAATTATTTTCTTTTTTTTTTTTCATTAAAAACAACAACAATTTTGCTCATGACGAGCCCATGGCACTCTATAAAATCTATATAACATGGCCCTTAGGCAACCTGTATTTCGATAAATACTAAAAGCGGATCTCCCCTAATATGGTTTTTATTGGTTTTTTGAACTCTATATTTTGACTGTACAGTGATTCCCCCTATAACGCGATAGTTTGGTTCTGCGTTATAGGAAAACGCGTTATAAGGGCATGCCCGTATACCCCGTATACATACGTGCAAAGGTACGCGAAGCACCCCTATAACGCGGTAGTGTGCTTCGGCGTTATGGGAAAACGCGTTATAGGCGTATACCCGTATACCTTGTATACATATGTGCAAAGATACGCGAAGCTAATTATGAACTGTACACATCCCCGCGTTATATGAGGGAATGCCCGTGTTATACGGGCGATTAAAATCGCGTTATAAGGATACCGCGTTATAAGAGGGGATTACTGTATATATTTTAGATTGGGTTTTCTCTGGCACCACAAATATTGTTTAATATTAAAATTGGACTTACTCCCATATAGTTTTTGTACGTTTCTTGGAACAGATAATCGCCAGCCGAATTTAAACGTCCTGTATAAATATTTTTATTTATAATAATTTTAACATTTATAATGGGAATAGTAAACGAGATATTTTTTAAAAATAATTTGTTGTTAGATAATTAAATATTAATAGTTATTAAATTAATATCTTGACTATTCATATTACAATTTCTACTACGTATTTACGTATTTTGTTTAACTAATTTATGAACACCCAACTTTCAGTGGATAATAGCTTAATTTATTCGTAATTTAAGCAAATGTGATATATAAAATTTGCCACACAACTGGAAAGTTGTATAAAAATATGAATGTTGGCGAAACATTTGTGTATTTCTGTATTTGTGTAATAAAATTATAAAATTTTACGTTTCATAGATATGAACATGAAAAATTGTACTTTCCTACACTATAAATTTTATATCAAAGTTTGGATTCGTACATGTTTGTATGTTAAACCATAAAATTATACAGATCCTCATTTATTAGCAAATTAAACTCATATACATCCGAACTTTAATAAATATTTATTTTGCAATTACAAATTTTTGTTGAAAACAATTTAATGTTTGCATAAATATATTTTCACATATATACATACCCGCACTACAATGTGCCACAATATATCGCCCATCTTCCTAATAGTCAGAAGTCGCAGCTGTGAAGGCGAGCAAGTATTTTAGCATTCAAATTATATCTGCGTTGATTAAGGAAAAGATCTTGCGTTCTTCATAGTTTATTTTTGTGCATTTCATCTCGTTTCGTTTTCATTTATTTTAACTTAATTTTCCTTACGCCATGGTGATTTTTGACACAATTTTACTATATTGTTTATTTGCGAATATTGCGGAAAAATTAGACAAACTATGCAGTAAATATTGTATTAGGAAATGTATTTTAATATTTGTGTTTTTCTTGTTCTGAAATAATATTATGCTAAATTAAATATTGTTCTAACATTTTTAATAAATATTTCCTCACATATTTCCCTCGTATGAAATCCAAAATTTTTTAAAATAATATAAAATCCATATCCATATAAAATATATAATTTGATATATGACAACATACTTTAGAATTCCTTCAATACACAAATATCAACCCATTTAGTTACATTTTTTGAACAATTTATGTCTAGGGTTATACTCTATTAATCTTTAAAATCAAGAGAAACACTTTGTTACAATTATCAATTGTCATAGAAAGCACTATATCTATGATTAATTTCGAAAATGAAATTATTCGGTATTTCCTTTTAAATAATCGTAAAGAATTTGTAATTTAAAAAATGCACATTAAAGATACCCTAATAGTTTTATTTCTGGAAGTTAATGCCACTATACTTACTCATTTTGTTTACATCAGCTTTTTTTTTTAATTATACTTGCGAGTGTTCTGCGATCGTTGGGTCATAGTTTTTAGCGAAAAACCAATATGATCGACCAAGCACTTGAAATCATAGGCATGTTAAATGACTTTTTTTTAGCGGGCATCACAGTTATGTTGTTATGTTATGTAGTTATGTATATACCCTTTATTTAAAATTTGTGAAGATGTTCGTAAAATAAAGAAGATAATGTCTACAAATTTTAAAATAGAAATAAATATTATAAAATAAAATACATTATAAAAATCACAGGTGCATTAGATAAAATATTATTATAACTTTTTTCGTTTCAATAACTCAAAACTTCTAATTTTCTTCTTATATTTCTAATTAAGAATATATTTATGTGATCTATTCACTACCCCGATACTCTTTAAACTATTCAGTAATAGAACAGAAAGATAATTGGTTTTTATTTATGTACGATTGCCACGAAGCTTTTGTATTTTGACATATATATATATATATATATGAAATATATATATATATGAAATATATATATATATGAAATATATATATATATGAAATATATATATATATAAAATACATATATAAAATAAACAAAAACTAATATTTACATTTGCAGTCAACGTGGACTTAATCGAAAATAGATTCTATATTTAACCCAAATCTTAAAATAATTTTAATTTGATTAAAATTTTAATCATTTCAATACAAATTACTTAAGTGAATCGCACATTGAAAATTTCATACCACATATAAATTGTCGTACTAAATTTAATTCATATCAAGTACAAACTAAATCGCTCCAGTTCACTTATGCATGCAGTTAATGCTCAACTTTACTTGAAAATATGTATCAAAGTGATAATTAATTTTACCAAAAAAGTAGAAAATAATGAAAAGTCTCTTATTATTAAAAAGCAAAAAAAAAAACTTCACAAAAAAATGCAGAAAAAATTTTAGGCTTTTTTTGGCTTTGTAATCCACGAGTTCACGGTTCAAGTCAGGCATTTTTCAATTCCTAACACTTCCAGTATAGATCTCACTTTCTCTGATCTTTGGTGATAGATATTTGCCAGCATCCAAAATACCTGTATGGACAGCATAAAAACTCACTAGATCAAATATTATATATGTGGATTTGAAATGTTTCCATTCCAATACTAAATAGAGTTCTTGTCATAGGACATAAAAGCTTTTAATTTAACAATTAAAATTAAAAATATAATTAATTAATTCAATTATTCTACAGCTGGTTTATGAATTCGTTATAATATAATACAGCAAGTAGATTTGTTAATAAACTTTTACAGCAAATTAACAAAACTATAGAAAATTGTGCGAACACAAAAATCAAGTACGGCTTTGGATCAGTTGGCTAAGGTGCGCTGACTCTGTGCTTCAAATTTGGCAGGACACGAGTTCGATTCCTGGTACTTGCAGTCTCAAAGTAATTATTTACAAATAATTAAATGCAAGAATTATTTCCAAGACCACTGATGATGAATATTTGGCAATACTCGAAGCAGCTGTATGGTCAGCCAAAAATTCAATTAATTAAAATAATATAAAATGAATTTTTGTTGTTGTAGTTCACTTCTGTTTGAAAAACATTTTTAAAAGCTTTTAATTAAAAATGTGCTATTTACTTAACTACACTAATGTTC